TAAAATCCACCATAACATAATTTCAAAAATTGTTGCCAAAACCAAAAAACAAGAAAAAAACCAAAGATATCAACACCAAACTGTGTGTGGCATATTTGAAATGTTATTTATGGTGACAGAAAACGTATAAAATTGAAAAGATATTTTCATGACTGTCTACGGCCACTGCTAAGTATTTATCAAGGATGTTTTGGCCATTGTTGAAGATGTGTTGTTGTGTTTGTTGTTGCTTTTTTAGATCATCATTTTAGAATAAAAAACTGAAATTAAAATCACTGCATCATCAAAATAATGCTGATGATGCGGATGCCCATACAGATGTTGGTGATGCTGTCGATCGTGCTACTGCCGGCGTCCATTAGTCATGATGCAATTTTTAAAAATGGGAAACATCAGCATTTTCCCAATGTAAATAAATAAATAAATAGCATTTAATAATCAAATTTCTATATGAAATGATGTAAGAATTTCAATCTAAATATGGATGAACAATTTACACAGACACATGTACATGTATGTGCATGAATGAAGCTTAGTTGTAGAGAATTTTCATTACTATTTCATTTATAATCCCCATTTACCTGACGATAGTAGGAAGGGGTAAGGGCGCCTGTGCTACATTTCTCTTTGTAGAACATTTTAGCTTAGCTGACTCTGCCATACCTGTTCGAATTATGCATTCAGGTTGTGTGTTGCCATGTGTTTTGGTCATTTAGCCATGGAGAAGGCGATCGATCGGATGCCGATTGCATTGGATGCATATTTAATATTCCATTGATGGGCGACAACTGTGTGCCGTATTCGACTGAGAGACTGATTTTGCTTCTTCCTCCTTCTCTTATTATACAGAGGAATGACTGCATGACATTATCATTGACTAATTTTCTATATTAACGAGTCATTTAAATTATACATCAAATAAATTATAATGAGTATGATGTAATTATGAATCAAACATTTTAATATTCTGTTATAAACTGATTCAAACTCTGTGCATACAAATATGTAGTCTGGACAATCGAAAATCGTGACAATATTTCCACATTGCAGTATTTAAATTAATGAATAATATTCTTTACAATATGTTTTGAGGCACAAGAACTTATCCATAGATGAGTCTGAGGTTTGAACTTATTTCATAGAAGAGTTTAAGGTTCAAACTCAGCTTCATAGAAGAGTTTTGAGGTTCAAACTAATCTTCATAGAAGAGTTCGAGGTTCAAACTCATCTTCATAAAAGAGTTTGAGGTTCAAACTCCTCTTCATAGAAGAGTTTGTGGTTCAAACTCATCTTCATAGAAGAGTTTGTGGTTCAAACTCATCTTCATAGAAGAGTTTGAGGTTCAAACTCATCTTCATAGAAGAGTGTGAGGTTCAAACCCCCTTTCATAGAAGAGTGTGAGGTTCAAACCCCTCTTCATAGAAGAGTGTGAGGTTCAAACCCCTCTTCATAGAAGAGTGTGAGGTTCAAACTCTTCTTCATAGGAGAGTTTGAGGTACAAGCTCACCTTCATAGAAGAGTTTGAGATTCAACTCATCTTCATAGAAGAGTTTGAGGTTCAAACTCATCTTTAAAGAGGAATTTGAGCTTCTAACTCATCTTTATACAAGAGTTTGAGGTTCAAACTCATCTTCATATAAGAGTTTAAGGTTTAAACTCATATTCATACAAGAGTTTAAGGTTTAAACCATCTCCACAGAAAAGTTTTATGCTCAAACTCATCTTCATCGAAGAGTTTGAGGTTCAAACTTATCTTTCTTGAAGAGTTTGAGGTTCAAACTCATCTTCCTTGAAGATTTTGAGGTTCAATCTCATCTTTTTAGAAGAGTTTGAGGCTCAAACTCATCTTCCTAGAAGAGTTTGAGGTTCAATCTCATCTTCATAGAATTTCAAACTCATCTTCATTGAAGAGTTTGAGGTTCAAACTCATATTCATATAAGAATTTGAGGTTCGAATTCATCTTCATAAAATTGTTTGAACTTCAAACGCATTTTCATAGCAGTGTTTGAGCTTCAAACTCGTCTTCATACAAGAGTTTGAGGTTCAAACTCCTTTTCATATAAGATTTTGAGGTTTAAACTCATATTTATACAAGAGTTTAAGGTTCAAACCATTTCCATAGAAAAGTTTTAGGTTCAAACTCATCTTCATCGAAGAGTTCAAACTCATCTTCATAGATCTTGAAACTCATCTTTTTTGAAAAGTTTGGGGTTCAGAATCATCTTCATAGAAGAGTTTAAGATTCATACTAATTTTCATAGAAGAGTTTGAGGTTCATACTCAATTTCATAGAAGAGTTTAAGGTTCATACTCTGTTTCATAGAAGAGGTTGAGCTTCAAACTCAGTTTTATAGAAGAGGTTGAGCTTCAAACTCGTTTTCATAGAAGAGTTTGAGGTTCAAACCCGTTTTCATAGAAGAGTTTGAGGTTCAAACTCGTTTTCATAGAAGAGTTTGAGGTTCAAACCCGTTTTCAAAGAAGAGTTTGAGGTTCAAACCCGTTTTCATAGAAGAGTTTGAGGTTGAAACCCGTTTTCATAGAAGTGTTAGAGGTTCTAACTCATCATCATAGAAGAAATTGATGTTCAAACTCATCTTCGTGGAAAAGCTTGAGGTTCAAACTCAAAGGAGTTTGATGGTAAAACTCGACTCCACAGCGAAGTTTGATGGTAAAACTCGACTCCACAGTGAAGTTTGATGGTCAAACTCGACTCCATAGTGGAGTTGGGTGGTCAAACTCGACTCCTTAGTGGAGTTCGAGGGTCATTCACATCTCCATAGTGAAGTTTGATGGTCAAACTCATCTTCACAGAAGAGTTTGAGGGTCATATTCGTCTCCACAGAAGATTTTGATGGTCAAACTCGTTTTCATAGTAGAGATTGAAGGTCAATATTTTCTCCACAGAAAGGTTCGAGGTTGAAACTGTCGTATATAAAAAAAAAAGTTTGATGGTAAAACTATTCTAAATTTCAGATGTTGAGGGTCAAACTTTTCTTCATTTTCGTTATTATTTTACAAATCAATTGTCATATTCGCCATTAACCCTTAAAAGACATTATGTGCACATTATGTTAAAAACTCCATAAATCATCGTATAATATTTTTGAATACACATCGGTATTTCTACATCTAAATTATGTTATTTATAAATTTATAGAGACTACACTTTCATGGCATTCCAAAAACAAGGGGAAATTCTATTCCCCATCCAATGTAAAAGGAATTTGTTTTTTTTTTGTGGCTTTCCAAAGAAATATATTTAAAAATACACCGTTCTATTTCTGAAACTGTTTCATATTCTACCCCTCCCGCGCCCTTTCAGACATTTCTCGTCATTCAATTAACAATTCAGCGCCAAATTGCATTTGAAACGTCTCAATTGACGGCAAGATGTTGGATATGGATGTTGTTCCCCTCTAATTTAGCTGTGAGACGCTTTTATTCACACAAACATGTAGTAGTTTCTTTTGTTTTTCTGTTCGTTTTTAGAATTTCCATAAAGATTTCATGTCTTTGTTGCATTTGTGATTTTTTCCCAGTTCTTCTTTTACATTTTTCATGCTAATTAGTTTTGACGCTCCACGAATGCCAACAAACGCCGAGGGAAGGTCGGAAAGGGATTTTGGCTATTTTTTCTAATGATTTTTTTTGTGTTTGTTGGGGGAATGAGCCTTACAACAAAAGCCAGCCAACTTATTTTTGGAATATGTCGGCAGCTTCTTTTCCATCATCCCCAACGTCTCCATCCTCTTCTTTTGTTTGCAGTTGGAGATTCTGAAATCTTTGTTTATGTTTCGTTTTGTTTTTTATTTCAGTTGCAGACCTAATTTATTCGGTGGGCCTTTGTTTTTCTTCTGCTTCCTCCAAAAAATTGTTTAGGGTTTTTTATGTGTGGCCCACATTTCATTGTTGTTGTTGTTTTTCTTTATTCTTAATTTTTCCTCTAAATGGTAATTAATTTGAGTTGTAAATAGACAAATTGTGCAGTGTCTCTGTGATTTTTTATGGCTGTAAATACGGCTGGGGCATTCCGCATCTTTTGTTTGTGTTTGAATGTTATTGTAAGACTTTGTCTGACTTTGCATAGGGGAGGTTATCGCTTGACATCAGAGAAAATTTTTAAGTGTTTAGGAAATACTTAAATTTTTTTGATAACCTCATTTTCAAGGAGAGGAAATGCGGGGAAGCTGAGATAAGTGTAAAGATAAATAAAGGGTAATTAAAACAAAGAAAGTGTTGTAAGTGGATGAAAAGAATAATCGTACGTTTATTATTTTTGTCATTGAAATTGTGTATTGAGAACCTTTACCGTAATAACCCTCTAACTATTCTATCAATCAGTGTATCATACTCTTCTATGAAGACGAGCTTGATCCTCAAACTCTTCTATGAAGATGAGTTTGACCTTCAAAATATTCTATGACGATAAATTTAAACCTCAAACCCATATATGAAGAAGAGTTTGAACCTCAAACTCCTCTATGAAGAAGACTTTTCTACGAAGAGGAGTTTGAACCTCAAACTCTTCTATGAAGGGGAATTTGAACCTCAAACTTTTCTGTTAAGATGAATTTGAACCTCAAACTCTTCTACGAAGAGGAGTTTGAACCTCAAACTCTTCTATGAAAAGGAGTTTGAACTTAAACTCTTCTATGAAGAGGAGTTTGAACCTCAAACTCTGCTATGATGATAAGTTTAAATCACCAACTCTTCTACGAAGAGGAGTTTGAACCTCAAACTCGTCCAGGAAGAGAGGTTTGAACCTCAAACTCTTCTATGAAAATGAGTTTGAACCTCAAACTTTTCTATGAAGATGAGTTTGAACCTAAAACTCTTCTATGAAAATGAGTTTGAACCTCAAACTCTTCTATGAAGATGAGTTTGAACCTCAAACTCTTCTATGAAGATTTCATCTTTTTTTTAACAATCATTCTAATAAACATTTTTGCTGGTTTCCTCCTTTGAAACTTACCTGTTTTTTCCTTTTTTTCCATTTCAGGTTATTGGTTTGGCCATTGTTATTGCCTCCGCCTGGCTGCTGACAGATCCCACCTTTGTTCTGTCCATGACACAATCCTATAATCATTATTACATTGCGCTCTATGTGTTCCTGGGTATTGGTGTTCTTATTACCATTGGTGCTTTCTTCGGTTGCTGTGGCGTTCTCAAAGAATCGCAATGTCTGCTGGTGTCGGTGAGTAAAACAAATTAAGTGACTATTCAAATATTGTCATGCCACAACAGAACCATAATTAAAATTCCAACAAACAAAAATTTGTGTTAAATAATTTTCGTGAAAATGGGTCCCCCCTAGACCGCTGAAATATGTGGTGTGGGTGGGAATGCGTGTGTGTGTGGAGTACTTGGAGGCGTTGTCAGTCAAACTAACAAATAACCAGCAAATCATAACAAAATTCGAAAATAACCAACAACAGGTTGTTGTAGCCCGCATTGAAAAATGAACTTTAACTGATTTTTATTGCTTTGTTTTTCGCTGTCGTAGCCAGCCAACAACAGCTGTTGCATGTGAATGTGACAGGCCACCGGTTGGCCTGGGATAGTCATTGGCCTCTTACGGTTAGATGTCGAAAATTTTGTTGTTGGTGGAATAGGCCTGGCTGCACTACACCCCCACAATTATGGAAGTCATTCATTAAACAGAATAAAACCTTTCTCCCTCACACACACACACACACACACACAAAATGGTTGAGGATTTCCCAATCCCCCCACACCCACCATTCTCCAATGGTCTTTTGTCATAATTTAGGCTTGATTAATTCTCTTTAAATTTGTTGTTGTTGCAGACTTTTGCCTCCGTCTTATCTCTGTCTGACTTGCTGACCTTTTTTGTGTTTTGTCATTTTCCTTTTCAGTTCTTCTGTGTGATATTGGTGGTGATGGTGGCACAAATAGCTGCCGGTGCCTGGGCATTCCATAACAAAGATAAGCTAGATGATATTGTTCGAGCCTCCGTCAAATATTCTGTACAGGAGGAGTATGGTCAATCAAGTATGAGTTCGCGTACTGTCACGTTTGATACTATACAAAAGAATGTAAGTGGAGGGGGGAAGAGGAAAACTCACATGAGATCCCATATGGAAAGTCCCATTCAGCCCGGCTGGAATGGAAGTTTTCCCATGAAATATCCGACTGGAATGGAAGTTTTCCTATGAAAAATCCGACCGGAATGGAAGTTTTCCTATGAAAAATCCCATTCAGCTCGGCTGGAGGGAAGTTTTCCTGTGGAACATCCCATTCCGATCGGCTGGAATGGAAGTTTTCCTATGGAAAATCCCATTCAGCCCAGCTGGAATGGAAGTTTTCCTATGGAAAATCCCATTCAGCCCAGCTGGAATGGAAGTTTTCCTATGGAAAATCCCATTCAGCCCGGCTGGAATGAAATTTCTCAATTAGCCCGGATGGAGGGAAGTTTTTGAAATTCCCATTCAGATCGGCTGGAATGGAAGTTTTCCTATGGAAAATCCCATTTTCCTATGGAAAATCCCATTAAGCCCGGCTGAAATGGAAGTTTTCCTATGAAAATCCTATGCGGGAATTCTTCTATTTCAAATCTAATTTTCTGTTCCTCTTTTGCCCTAGCTCAAATGTTGTGGTGCTGATGGTCCCGCTGACTGGGCTACCAGCCGTTTCAACAACGTAGATCGCACAAATATTGTCGACATTGCCATCTCTTCCATGAATGTCTTCTACAACATTCCCGAGTCCTGCTGTAAGGATGAATTGAAAGAGAATGTTTGTGAGATGTCAAGGAAATTGAAATTCGGAGGCACTATTAATCCGGCCATACATCAACAGGTGAGATTGGTGGTATCCTTTAAAAAAAATATATAAAAAAATTAATTTTCCGATCCAATTCTCTTTCCAGGGCTGTGTGGACAAATTGATTGAGGTCATCTATGAAAACTGGGTATTGCTCTTTGGCATTACTGGCGGCATTGTCCTATTGGAATTGTTGGCTTTGACCTTGTCCTTGAGCTTGTGCTGTGCCGTGAGAAGTCAGCAATACAAGGCCTGAGAATTACAGAATTCCCATAGGGAAATATCAGACGATGAAAAATACTAACCGTATTCTATAAGGCAGCAGCAGCAGCAGCAACAACAGCAGCACACGTATCAGCAGCAACATCAGCCACACTCACAGCGTCAGCGTCATCATACGCAACAACAACATCAATTGCAACAAAGACAACAACAGCTGCAACAAGAACGACTGCAACAATATCATCAGCAACAAGAGGAGCAACATTGTCAGCCCCAACATCATCATCATCATCATCATCAGCAGCAGCATCATCATCCTGCTCCTCATCATCATCGCCATCAACAGTATGTTGTGCAACACGAACCGCAGCAACATTTCTATTGAAGAAACACCAACAAGAAAATGAAGAATTGTTAAAGAAGAGAAGAAGAAGCAGAGAATATTATAATAAAATTAGGAAACAAAATGTCTTAAGGGCCATACATATAGAAGCCAATTGTTAGGACTACTTTTGAAGTAAGGAGAACTGCAAGATTTTCCTTCTCCATACATACTCTGACTCAATTTCCTCTTTTAAGGAATCTCATGTATTTTTTCTCTTTCACAATAGAATCTAAAAAAAACTAAACTCAACCAAAATGCAAACTTTTGAAACAGAGCAATTCACAAAATATTATTATTATTATTTTTAATTTATATTAAAAATTGTATTTTATTAATTTCCTTTTTTGTATATAGTCTCTAAACCAAGCATGAAAAATTAAATCTAAAAATAAACTCTCCAAAACAAAAAAAAAAAAAATCGAATATTTAAGAAAAAGATTGAAACATAACCTTGAGATCATCACTTAAAAAACAACAACAGCATTTTCATATAGCATAATGTCTAATTAAAAGAAATGAAAACCCCCACACATAGAAAAATATAACAAAAAACACACACGCATACAAAACAAAGAAAATGTCGCATAAATTAAAATATAAGAATCTTTTTTGTTAGTTATTAAAATATTAAAAAAAAACTTAATGTAAATTTAAGGGACTAAATTAAATTTATTGAAAGAAAAAAATGAAGAAAACCGAAAAAATATATTTATAAAACACAAACACTACACAAACATATTTTTTATTTCCATTTTTTATATGATTTTATTATATAAAGTATTAGACCCATTCTATGTTATACCAAGCAGTTTATAACCGTTTTCCAAAAGTTTTAAGTTCCCACTTCTTTTATATATATTTTTCTTTGATTAAAGAGGTCAAAATCGTTCTGTAGAAAAATAGAGCAACTGTACGTTTTTGAATAGGCAGCCCATAGAAATATATTTTAAATAAATTTCATTGGGTTTTAAGCCACTAGAAATTAATGGTTGTCAGGAGAATATCTCTAGAACAACATAACATTGCAATTACATTTCTGTAATCAATACATGTTCAAAGGATTCGTAGCGTTCTCTCAATAATAATATCCACTTTTAAAGTACGTTCTAAGAAAAATGAAAATTTAAATACATTCTAATGAAATTTAAAAAAAACTATTCTAGGATAAAAAGAAACAGGAGATATGTGAACTGCAGTCAAACACACAAAAGTAGCCAAGAACCTGATTCTTGAAAGATGCGTATAATAAGTTTCGGTTTCGGATGTTTATCTGCTAAATTAACTTAAAGCAAATGCAACATCTACACAAGGTATGCAGAAATTAGGAACATATTGTATGTAAAAAAAATATAGTAAAGAAACTTAAACATGAGCAGACAATGGCTTATTTCAAAGATCCGAAAAAATTCCACAAAAATGCTTCATAAGGACTTTTAGAAAAGCTAATCAATACCGAAAGTACTTTGGAAAAGCTAATCAAGACTGAGAGAAGTTTCTGACTCAGAAGCACCTTGCACATTGCATCTGAAAGTAGAGGAACTGGTTAGCCCTTACAAAGCCTACAGTATTCTCCCATTTCGTAGTCATGCTATGCTATGCGAAAGTGGTCAGTGATGAAGCCCACAAAGCAATGCTCAGATTTCAAGGGGAGAGTACGGAAGTAGTTAAGTTGAAGGCCGCTTTTTTTACTCGAAGACCAACTGGTCCATTTGGCTTATCCTGTAAGAAAAGTTTAAAAGAGACAGTGAGGGAAAGAGAAAGAGAGAAACAAAAAACCCAATAGAAGATTAAAAAATCAGCAGTAACAATAAACCTGAGAACTGATCATTTAAAAAATGCTAGATCACGATGATTTAGCTTTATAAATCTTCTGTTCATGTTTAAGTAAAGAGAATGAGCCCAGACACTGGATCCTTTAATCCGCCATTATCTAAAATTTTCTACTGAAGGGCTGTGCTAACACATCATCATATTATGATTTTTGTTGAACCTATCCGGATTAGTGATAGTCTATTTAGAAGTTATAGTCCTAATGTTGCAACTTTCATATCGAGTTTTAGTACGGGCTATGTTGGGAAAAGGAGGAAGCTTGTTCTTTTCCAGGAAGATTATGTCAAATTATCTTCGAAAAACTGAACAAAACGTTGCTGTGAAAAAGATCTGCCAATAGAACTTGAGTCGAACCTGGAGAGTTTCTAGTGTATAATTCGCATATGCTAATTTGCAATAAGTTCGAAATATATACTACTTTCCAGAGAACGGCCCTTGTAAGCCATCATCCACATCAAATATGCCTGATGAGCCGCTTAACCAACGGCGAAACGCGTCGCATAGTGGTGAGTGTGTGATAGTGTCTATCTGGCTTTCCTTTTCACTGCAAATTTCAGATCATTAAGCTCGTCTCGAAAGAGAAAACAAACACTTAAATCATAAAAACATATGATCTTCGCCTTAATAAGGCAAAACTGAATCCATTATTGTTGGACCTCTCTTAATCATTCATCGAGAGTTCCATGATTATATTGTCAATCCAGATCCCCGCCTTCAGCCACTGCTTCAGTTCCAAAAATCTTTCGATTGCCTGGAAATCTAGCCTTAAACCGAGACTAAAAATTTTGGCGTGGGAATTGAGTGATTTCAAGTTCGCCATAAAATTGACCGATACTCTTGAATAGCTAATGGTCTATTTGAGGTGGTTTGTTAAGGTACCCAACAACAATTACGGAGCATTCCGATAGTTTCCAAACAAATGTTGAGTCCTAAACAACTTTGGATTAGATGGACAACACATTGGGTGTGTTTAGGGTAGGTTGACAGTTTGTAAAAACGTGACCACAGGACCCAAAATACTCTTGGATATGTTGAAGGTTTGAACATTGCACAGATTTCAACTTGGAATACACTAAAATTATAGTGAAGAGTGCTAAGAGTGTCAGACATACAACCCTTCACTGTTGCGATGAAGATGTTGTCTGGAATCTGTCTTATCTGCAACTAACTTAGCACTTTTGGTATTATAATATTAATCGTATGAAAGCTTAGAACCGGAAAATGGAATGCGTAAACCCGATATCATTAAACAAATCGTTGTAAAATACATGGATGTCTAAGTGTGTCGATCTTTCTATAGAATAATTTCCATGATCCTCAAAGTACTAATCGACGCCTGAAACTGGACTAGAATGAATATTATGGTTGGACATATTTATCAGGTTTAAAACTATCTGAGAAGTGATTTAAGTTGGTGTCGTAATAAGAACCAACGTGGCAGGAAAGTTGGTCTTATAGAATCCATCTACTACCTACGTTCTGCAATAAACCCATACATCCATGTGCAAAATATTAGACAGTCAGTGTATGGGATGAGATTTATACTTTTACCCGAAGAGTTTGAGTTGAACGGTATTGGCTGTGACCCAATGAGATCCAATACAATAAAAAGGTTAGGTAAAGCTACTTGCGGGTCACAATTTTTTTCTGAGTGTGCCCAACTTTAGCCGATTAAACAGTCTTGCCATCGAATTGACATATTGAACAATGTCGATCGTGTCTATGAAAGGAATTCCAGGCGTTTCATTCTTATTTCGCCTTTTTAACTAATTTTAAAAATTAGAAAAAATATCAAATAAATGAGAACAACTTGTTGTAAGTCATTTTGAATAATTCTGACAAAAAATGGGCATAGCTTCAGGCCTGTATTTCAGTAGTTTTACAAAACTGTTCTACCTCCATTGTGCCATGGGCTTTACCTTCATGGGAATAATACAGGAATAATATCATCATAACGTCGGAAAGCTAAATTTATGATAAAGAGGCTTGACTCCTAAAAGTATGCTATATAATGTAAAACAAAAATTATGAAAATCAGTATACTCTAACGTCAGTATGGCTCTAACATAATTTGTAATCGAGACTTAAGTTAATATTCGTTGAGGGGTACATGACTACAGACAAACTAAGAACGCTGATAGACACTTGGTCGCATAACACCTAATTGTTATGTTTCCCTGGCGAGGTAGAGGGACAAAAGTTTATATATTTGTCTACTTTATGGACATCGATCTTTCGAATATCTGTGTCCGATTAAACACTATAATTGTCATATGTAAAGTGACTTTTTCATATTTTATATTTGACGTTTTTATAACTGATACATGCATCAAAGCTTGGGAACATTAATATGTCAATTTTTTTAATGTTTTATTTTTTAAAATAAGTCGACTTTTAATGTTTTTTTCATTTTATTTTTTCATTTATCATTTTTCAAAAAATTTATAAATTTCAATAATTTTTCATTCAAAATTTTCAATTCCAAAATTGGTTTGACAGTTGATTGTCCCAGCAGCTGTGTCGATGCGACTACCTGAATTATTCTACCATGACTTTACCATACAAAATATATGATTTTTACTAGACTGAAATGCATTTCTTTTTATATTAAAAATTCTGGGGAGTGCCTAAAAGTATGCTTTATAATTCAACAGTAGTTCAACATAGTAGAAAATCACGTTACATATGACTCTAAAATAACGTGTATTCTAGTCTTAAATGTCGTACGCACACAACATATCCACTGGATTTCAACCGTAAATTCCATTGCGCACGTTAAATGACGTTAAATAAAATCCACTGGATTTGAAAATCGTCCTCATTTGGAGCATTCGCAATAGAATTGACAGTTGATATTTACTAGACCCAATAAATATCCGCGAAATTCCACAAATCAATTTTTTCCCAGAAGCGGGATAGGAATCTACAAACTTGGTTTGGTTATAACATGATGGGTTTTCTGAATTATTTTATATTTTCTCATTGTTTTTTTTTTAATAGTTAACAAACAACAACAAATTTCTATTCCATTTTCATTCATAAATGCCAATTTTTGTGTTAAGAGTCTTCCGCTTATTTATACAATTTACATACTAAAAAAATTAGAAAAATATATATTTTTCAGAATGCCAAATAAGTTTTTTTATTATATACAAAATATTTTTTTATCAGCATTTTTATTAAAAAAACAGCAGCGAAATACCACATTCCACAAGTTCAAAAAATAAAGCTCAAACAATATTTAAAATAATAATAAAAAAACTCACAAACATATTGTCCATTGAAAAAGAAAAGTAATTTAACCTAAACATCGAACCTCCCAAAAAAAAAGTATAAATGAGAAATAATTGTAATTGGTAAAAAGAAAACTATTTTTGACTTTTGAAATGAACCATATATTAATATTTATATATTTATTTAGTCTAATTCTAAAAAAATATTCTATATTAAAATTCTTGGCTTTTGGCGTGCAAATGAAATTAATGTTTGTGTTAATTTGTTATAAAATTCTGGATGATATTCATTTCAAGGTTAGGTTTATATTAAATCTTATAATTAGGATAATTATTATTATCAGTTTGAAGGGAAATGTAATCATTGTAGCCTTTCTCTATGGATAATTTGTAGATATTATAAATCGAACATCCAACAACACACAAGTCACAAGTAGACCTTTAAAGTTATCATATAAAAGTTCACACACCATGCACAATTTGTAAAGTTGCCAGGCAACACATTATATTTAAATACTTTGAAAATCATACATGTTTCCAGCTATGAAGAAGCATCATTAGGAGGTTGTGGTGTTAGGCTGTCCGTATGTGGAAATCACACCAGCTTCCGAACGAAATGATATAGGTTGATAAAATTTCACTCAGATATGTGTTTGGTTTG